ACAGCGTGTCAAGTTGATTGGATTTAAGTCATAGCTACTGTCTCCCTGACTTCAAATCATAGTTAACTTATTCGACGGAAAGAGTAACGTTAACAACATTTATTTAAGGTTATTAGATAAAATTTAGAGATTTTATAAGTTATTTAAAAGGTAAAACTATATCAAAGTTTATAAAAATGTAAAATTATATCAAAATCTTAATAATAATTTAGCAAAACTATAGTTTAAACATTTTGCAAAATCTAAAATAAGTTTAGATAAGCAATTTTACATCTACCTTATTAAAATCAAGTGCATTTAGAAGTTTTATTTAACAATAAAGTTAAGCAATTAACAAAGAATTACTACAACTTCACAGCTTTTATATTTAACCTATAACACTTAAAGCAACTTTATTATCAATATAAAGAGATGGCAATTTTAATTCTTATTTATCTGTTCATCAAAAATATAATGCATTCTATAATATTTGACAAATTTCAACAGCTATATTTAATTAAAAATAGAAGGTGTTTCCTATCAACTGACCTACTATCACATTCTATATTAATAATATTATTTTATTATTTCATTTATATACAGTTAATTCTCTATAAATACATACCTTTAAAATTAGGTATAAGAATACATTTAAAGAGTGTATGCATTTATAGAATATATATAAATCTATATAATATTAATCTAAAATTAAGGTAATACAAAAATTTATAAGTAAACTTATAAAATTTTTATAAAGAGTGTATTTACAAAGAATATATATATAACTGAAGAATGGTAATCATTCTAATCTAAAATATAATAGAATTTAAATGTTTAATTTTTGTGAAATATATATGATCAGCAATGTTAAATTCTATTAGTTAATCAATATATAGGATAGAATAATATTGTATTATTTTGACGTAAAAATTGATTATTCTCATATTAAAAATGTTAAGCAGTCTTAAGTGATTCTAAAAGTCTCAAGAAAATTACAAAAAATTTTATTTACAAATTTATTATGAAACTTATTTATTATAATATTTTAATGAGCTATTAAATAAAAATATATAATAAACTCTCTTAGAATCTCAAAATTTCTTAAAATTTAAAATTTAAGGACTTAGGATTAGATTTCAAAAATTAGTCTTATACTTAACAGTCCTATCAAAATTGCTAATTTTGAATATCATTTTAGTTTTTTACAAATTAATTATAAAATTTTTATGACATTTTTTTGATAAGGGTTACTCATTATAGATAAGCGATTAGACTTCTTTAGAGTTAGTAATCTCTTAAATTGTAAAGATTGATTAAAGACTGTTTAATATCCCTGTCTCATACTTCAAACAAAATTTATGCATTTAGTATTAAGACTCAAGTTAGAATTAGATAAAAATGTGTATTTATAAAGAGTATACATTTATAAAAAGTTGACTATATTATTAAATATTTTAAATATTACTTATTATATTTCTTTTTTATATTATATATTAGTTAAATAGTATTTTTATTATTATAAAATATTTGTATTTTATTATCATCATTATATTTTATTTAAAATAAATTTAAATTAAAGTAATTTTAAATTATATATTAATAAATTATAAATTTGGTAATATTATGATGCATCAGCAAAATTTTTGAATTGCAGATCTGTATAAATCTGCAATTTAATTTTTCTATACAGATCTCAATACACTAACATAATCTTTAAAGATAAATTTTTACATAGATTTATAAGAGGTAATATCTGCGCAGAAATTTATTAATAAATCTGCAAAATATTTTAAAGTAATTCATATATATAATTTTATTTATAGTATATGTTTCACAATAAAAATATAAAATTATTAAAATTATTATTTATTTTGATATCTTGCAAATATATTGATATAATTCAATTTCATTGACCTTCTGCTTTCTGACATCAAATTACTGATCAACATAATTTATTGTAAAGCTAAACTGTATGAGAAGGAATATAAACTCCAAGCAGTCCAACAAGCACTCGAACAACGTCTTGAAAACTACGCTTTACAACCTGGTAAAATGTTAGACTCCACCTTAAATCGTTCAAGAAGAACCATAGTACTTGACCGCTGCTTATCAAGGAATTCCAAGGATTTACTAACGGACGAAAGTGCTGTCAAACTTAATGTTAACGAACACTTCCAGAAGGCGGCTGGTACCACCCATGAAAACAAAGTAATACCGGAGGAATGGAACTCAATTTATAATCCGATCTCCAA